CTCTCTCACCAAGGAGAGGTCAGGGTAATCTGGGAAAGATATGCATGTGATATGCAATTGTTGGACGATTTCGGCGTGGAATAAGCGTTAAAACGAAGTTACCATAGTTTTGTATGGCAAGATAGCAATCTCGACTGGAACGAAATCGGTCGGTAGTAGGGTTATTCGATAACACGACTGCTTTCCGGCAGACGACAGCCTCTTCGTACACGCTTTTGTGACACTAACAAAGATGCGACGACGGGGTTTTAGCGGAGCAAACGCACGCTGTGCTGTGATGTGTCTTTTCAGACCAGGCTTTTTCAACGCAATAGTGACACACACGCACACACACACACCAACTTCGGAACCAATGGATCATGTTCCTACCCGGGTTTTCTATTACCCCTTTTCTTCGAAACAAAAATGCCTTCGAAAAGATTCCTACCTTTCGTCCTCTTCCGTAGAATTGAGACATTCCAATGAGCAGTTGCATGCGAATTTCCTGAGGTAAGAGGTATGTCGACGGTATCTTAGTACTCCAACCAGTAACTACGTCACTTCTCGTTGCATGGACACTTCAGGAGTGTCTTGCGAAATGCGAAACTAGAGTAGCAGTACTATTTATATTATTACAATGTATTCCAAGCTGGAGGACCGGAGGTCCGGAGGTTAAACATAAAGCTTGCGCGATTCTGACCGCTGACTAGGCCGAGCGACAATTGATTCTTTTTTTGTTTGTTGTGTGTGACAGCTCTACAGGCCGAACGCTTACAGATATGAACTTGGGGTTTCGACAGAACTCTTTCTTACCATCCGAGCATGTGCCTTTTCGCAATGAAACTTGCAAATCGGCCATAGGAAAGGGAGGGGAGGCAATTTTCATTGGATATCGGTGATTAGATCTCGTTTCGCCATCTTTCGGAAGAACTTGAAACGTGAGTTACTGTAGTTCTCGAAAGGGAATGCTGCCCTCACTCACAGCAGTGCCTCCCGCCAGCTGCTGTGAGTCCAGGGGATTTCCAAGATCCATGATGGAATAGGAGGTGATTCCTCAGATCGTCGTCGCATGCGTTCACACGGTCTTTTGCAAAGAAACCCATCGCCCTAATTTCCTCGTTTGTTTCCATGGCTCTAAATGCGATTTGCAGAATTGTACGAGCAACCCAAGGAGGTCGGCGAGATTGAGAGATTGCTGTTGGATTGTTTTCCGGTGTCGCAGACGCATTGGCAGATGGCAAAAAATGCATGTGTACCGTTTGGGAGCCGGGATTTTGCAAAAAAAAGCACCATTACGGTGATTTGCGGATCGTCGCTGAGCTGCGTGTTGCATCTTACTTTCTTTTCTTCGCCTCATTCGCTCCATTCACTGATCGAGCGCCGAAGATTATCTCGAGTCAAAAGAAACCTACAGGCTTTATACATATGAAATTGCCCAAATAACACATGAACGCTTTCGAGGACGTTCAACATGTTTTCAAAGGGATCTTTGGACATCCAGTGAACCAGAATGAGCGCCTCTTTTGCTCTCAATTAAGGTCTTTTTTGTCTCGAAACATGCTGCATTTGAAGGACATTCGTCGAACTTTTGAGATGTTTTCCTGAATTATATCAATGTTATTCACCTGACATTGGCTTAAAACAAGGATTCGCACAACCGACGCTAGACGGCGACAAAGTAGACGCTAAAAACCAATCAATTCCTGATAAAGCACAGCCGAATAGCTGTGTGACCGCCGGAAGCCAGGGTGGGTTGATTTCTTAAAACCGGACTCGATCGGCTCGACTGGAATAATGACAAGGAGATTCTTTTCGAACGCATCTCTATTCAACCTAGGAAATCATATAGTACTAGGAATGACTTAATATTATGACTGACCAGAGCTCCTTCTTTGCAGGGCCTGCTTGCTTGATGCACGAGTGGCGTTTGCTGCGTGCCTTTCGGAAAGGAGACCACATGCCTCCATTAGGATAGAACTAATAATATTTTTTCAAGAAAAAATGTGAGTGGGCTGCTTCCTAAAGCTTGCATGCGTCATGGAGATGGGGCATCCAACACCTGTGAGCAATCATTTTTCACCTGCTTCAAGTGATTTGAAATTTGATCCCTAATGATGACGAGGAATAATGAGAAAACAAGGCTACTTACTTGCTCAGGCCTTCACAAGAATCATGATCAGGAGTTCATTTGTTCATTTTTGAAAAAAGAAACAGTGACACTTAGCGTCCATTTTTAAAACGAGCTCGTAAATTTGTGAAAGACATGAAGCTATTTGACCAGTGAAGCCTGGTTTGCGAAAGGTTGCAAGGAAAGGGGAAATTCAGTGAAGGGTGATGATTTGAATGGTTTTATTTAATTAAAAAAAATGATTCCCCACGGCTATATTGTTAAGGGAAGAATATTGTTATGGTACGACAATTTCGTGTCGTAGTCCGTTGTGGATTCCGGGTGGAAATAAGATCAAAAGGAGATACGGTGACAACAAAACAGGTGTTTTAATTTCCTTCTCACTCGTCCACTCATCAATTCTTCTGCCGGATCCGAAGGCACTGCGGAGTCCTGGTGTCCGGGGCCCGGCGTCGTTCTCACCGAGGGATCTCTCCCTCGGTGGTTCCACTCGACCGTCGTAGACGCGTCTATGGTCTCCATACGAACTGCGGTAGAGAGAGGGATAAGCGGCTGCGGCCCACAGAAAATTCTATTCTTCCGGGCCATGGTCTAGCCTGAATCGTCCCAGAGGGTCTTTGACCTTATCCTCACAGGGATAAGGTCAAGCATGTCTTTCAAGGTACAGGATCATCAGCGGGAGGGAGATATTCAGGACTTAGCTTGAGCCTGCATTTTGTTACTTCGCTGAGGGTTCCACTTTTCGTTCCGCCTTCTCCGGAGGTCCTTACCGGGACTGGCTCGCGAGCGGCCGTGATGCGGCCGTTCGTCCTCGCTGGTGACTTCTCAGCATGTTGGGTTGGAAGGCATACCGTACTTCCTTACTTCTTACCATATAGCTCTAAAAATAACTCTATGTAACTATTACATCGGGAACAGCGCATATAATTTAAGCCACTACACATCCTGAATAGCAAACACCGGGGCTCACAAGTGGCACCTAATGGCAAAGGCTGTAAATGAAGGTCAGAGGTCAATAACCCCAAACGGGGTCGCCTGTTCTTACCTTACCCTTACCCTTACCGTGACAACATTTTAAGAAATGTTGTCTAAACTTTTACGTTTAGTAAATTGTCTAAACATTTACTAAACGAAATCGGCACATACGGAAAGCTAAAATTTGAACACAGGTTTACCTCAGGATACTCATTTCAAGAAAAGCCCTCCTTTCGAGCTATTGATACATTCCTTCAGGCCCCATCTTTTTTTTTTGGGGGGGGGGGGGGGGGGGGAAATTCTTCCTGTACAACTTTTTTTTGGCCTATACGAATTGCACAAATTTAACATAATTTAATTCTCAAGCAGTTGTCAAGGGTATAATTTCAATATTCATTTATTTTAAGAAATACCGCCTCTAGGCACATGTTTGGCAACAGGTATTTGAATAATTTGTTAAGTATAGTACTACATTGAAACGGCACATATTCAAAGCTGAAATTTAATGAGTACGTCTCCATAAAGTTTTCATGCTTTTTAGGTTCATACCCTCTGAGCAAATGGGATGGATTAAATCGCGCGAGGACATTAGCATCACCGTAGCGCAATATAACGACCAAAGAGGGGCTAGTAGATCAATGTCTTCGCAGAGGACATTCTCTTTCAGAAAAACAACAGAATTCCTTGGAAACATTTATAATTATTTCTCGGAAAGGAAACACTGGATTGATACGGACATGCTAAAGGGCTTAATCATATCCGCAGAAACCAACATGCTTCTAACTCCAAGTATTTCCAATTGCAATTTCTTCATTGGATTATTCAATATTTCAATAATTGGAGTGCGACTAAGTAGCCCATCTCATATGCTGGCTGTAATGACCTATTTTGGAGATTATTTGGCCACAGGACTCAACGTTTGTTTTGCTCCATGCTAATTCATTCACTTTGCGCAATAATCAATAGGGTGCGCATTAATACTTGATGCAAGCAAATACATTTATTCCTTTGTTGCAATATGCCACATCAAGACATGTTTCCAACCATTTGACCAGTTCCTCATTCTGTAAATGTGCAAAGGATATCGTCATCTACAAGTTAGGATTTGGATAATTTGACTAACTTACAATGGACATGGGCATTGCACTTCCCATCTGTAAGGGGAAGATCCAGCTACATCCACAAATGTACCATGTGAGATGCGTCGGTAAATTTAATAACCGTTAAATGTTTTAAGAAAGTTCTTGAAATTCAGAAGAGAAAATTAATCATTCTAAGCACCTATTCTAAGCATTCTATGTGAGATAGGCTGCTATTATCTTCTTGATTTCCGCTCCATACAAGATATGACAGACTGGTATCAGCTGAAATAGTGTTCGACGCCTCGAGATCGGATCCGCTAAATGACTTTTAAACTGGGATTGCACCAAGTTATCTCTCCATTTCCCCCTGAAATTCGCAGACAACAGGACAAAGAAGCGCTCCGCTCGCCTCTCACGGAAACGGAACAAATGAAGGGAATGGCCCAGATGGGCATTATCTGCAGAGGCGGCATGATATCAACAAGGGTTCTCAGCAGCTTGCACCTTCTCACGTCTACGTCAGTGAGTATACGTACTCGTAGAAGTCATTTGAACAGAGATTCAAAGGAAATTTTCTTCTGGGACTGAAATCATGAGTTGGTTCTATTCTATCATCGTCATTGCCTTTCTAGGCGTTCCTCATGTTGGTGAGTGAAACTTTTTGTAGATATTGGATTTTTCAATATCTCCTGCTCGTGTATACTAAACTTTTCCAATAAGTTTAGTCTAACCTGTAATGACATTAATGTGCAGCCTCATACAGCAACAATGTTCATGGTTTTTGGAGGCAATCACATCCCATAAAATTGCAACTCATTATAATTGTGTATTGTGGCATGTCTCGTCCTTCAGGTGAGGTTTCGGCCGGGTGGGGGAAAAGAAATTGATCTGTTTGAGGTTTATATAACCTCCTAGTGGCCTTCTGGTGTCCGGTCAATACCCCGACGGTCAATTCCCCAACAGTCAACTCCCCGACGGTCAATTCCCCAACAGTCAACTCCCCGACGGTCAATTCCCCAACAGTCAACTCCCCGACGGTCAATTCCCCAACAGTCAACTCCCCGACGGTCAATTCCCCGACAGGACAGTTCCCCGATCACGGTTTTCCGATCTCATGGTCGCGGAAGGAGGGCTATCGACCGCATCCATCACCTTCATGTCTAGGGGTCGATTTACAGTTCATGCCCTTGTTTGTCTCTGAAGAGTTACATCATTCACGATGCTTGCGATCACCTTGCGGGCTTGTAATTTTCCAGGTTCTGTAGCATGATGATGTTGCCCTCGCCTATTGACAACCTCCTCTCCTTCAGTTGTAGCTCTGAAATTGCAGTTTCCTTAGTATCTTCTATAGAGGCACTCCGAATACGTTCTTCGTCTGTCCTTGCTCATCTTTTTCTGTGTTAGGAGATAGCCCACAAGAACAAGGTTCTTGCCCTTTTCGCTCTACACTGTCCAAGAAATGACCACTTAATGATCTGATTCCTAAGCCACCCAACTTCTGCATATGTAGCCCCGTTTCAGATTTTGATTGATATTTGGTCGACCGTCTGATCTCTGGCGGCCGAGAGGATTATCTTACAACCGTTTCTGTCGCCTTTTTCATATTTTTCCCTTTACCTTGAGAACTTCATGAATGATCTGACTAACTTGTTATCGGCAGTCATGTTCCTTAAAGTAACAAAGTTTATTCGCCTCCCACCTAAGGTGGGAGGCGAAGATTTTACTGATTTCCTCCCCTTCAGGACTAGAGAAGATTAGCGACTTTCCCCTTTCCTTCGGTTTGCCTAGACCCCCCTCCCTTTGGTTCCGGCTCGGTTGGGGGGCGGCCGCAGGGGCGCCCCCCCCCCCCACCATTCCTCATGCATGATGTGCGAGACAGAAAACTTAAATTGGAACAAATCCGTTTCATTTGGGGAAATCCCAAACGAGGAACTGACTGTTCGGGGAATTTGTTATTCGGGGAATTGCCAGGGAACCCAGTGGCCTTCTGACCAAACACGTGCATAATTTTTTTTCCCACAGCTCATCAACTAAAAATAGTATTAGCCAGTTTCGCGCTGCCGAAGAGGAAATGCGATAAGTAAATCAACATCCTTATGAGAAAATCATATATGAGGGTATAATGTTCCAAGCGCTTGTGTTGGAGTTAAGGAATGACAGGAGCGATGGTTTTTTGTTGTTGTCAATCTTGGGGTTTCCATCCTTTAGGAAAAGCATAGTAAGCCAAATATCAATCAGGAAAAACTAGCCTCGCACTCGATTCGCATGATATGTCTTTAGGCAACGTTTGCAACGGAAGAGGATCGAAACATAGGGTAGCTGGTCCCTGAAGAAAATCTGGATCCTGAGGATACTTGGTTTGAACTGGTGAACGCAAGTTACGTCGAATGAAATGCAGACACGACAGAAACGGCTGTGGGGGATGACGTCTATGTTTGTAACGCTACTATGTTTGCTAGCTTTGGGAAACGGCGTTGTTACTCAGGCTTTAATGTTTCACCAAAGAAAGCATTTTTCCAGTTACAAATGACGTAGAGAATATGCGTCTTTGACAGCGCTGTACGCTCCTATTTAGTAATGGGTACAAATCAGAGGAGAAAAAGATATAATTAAGAAGAATCAAAGATGGGCATTAAACCCACGGGAAAATATATACATATTAATAGCACATAAAGAAAGAAAAGTCACAGGAAATATGTGAATTGAAACGGAAAGAAAGAAAATAAGCATTCTTTATTCGGCAGCATAGCTTGTGGTCCTAACTTTATCCCCGAAATGAAAATGCGATAAGTACGCCTCCACTCCTTCGGGGAAAAGAAAATGATATATGTGTCTTTAGGCAACATTTGCAACGGAAGAGGAATGAAACATATGGTTCCTGGTCTCTGCAGAAAATCTGAATCTTGCGAATCCTTGGTTTCAACTAATGGACGAAACCTACGCCAAATGGAATCCAGACACGACAGAAGCCTCTGTGAGGGAAGACGCCCCCGTTGATGACACCGTCCTCTTTCAAGTCCTCTGCAGTTCAGGATGCACGGAACTCTTCATTCTTGCCGCGTCCCCCAATGAGAATGAGCAATTCTTCAAAATTCTCCAGAGCAATGATACATCAGCCGATCTGGGTTGGGCCAAACCCCATGCCTTTGAGGATTTCATGGGCGAAGATGAAATTATCATATGGCTTCAGGTAGAAAATTACGAATCTCGTCTCACCGGTTTCTCCTGCAATGAAATAAAATTTGCTGATTGGTGTCGATTATGCCTTGCATCTCTTGTACAGGGAAATTTGCAGTCCTTTGTCTTACTCATCTTGCCTGTGAACGACAAAGTACCCTATTGGGACGATTTACCACTACAGATTTCCGTTGAAGAAGTGAGTACACGAAAACTGATATCGAGGCTCTTCCTATTGATTTAAGTTTTTCTCAGACATGACTTTGCGAATTGGAATTGAATGCTATGAAGGGATTCGTGGGAGAAGTGCCTGGAGCAAACAACGAGTATTGGATCAAGGCCTTAGATGATGACTTCGGGGACAGTGGGTCTCTCTCCTACAGCTTGAGTGTGAGTCACTCTCATCCAATCATTGACACCCAATAACTAGAGTTCATACTGAAATTTCTAAAACGTTCAATATGAATTTCAGTGTCCCTCCTGTAGAGATTCCATGGTCTCTCTCCTACAGCTTGAGTGTGAGTCACTCTCATCCAATCATTGACACCCAAGAACTAGAGTTCATACTGAAATTTCTAAAACGTTCAATATGAATTTCAGTGTCCCTCCTGTAGAGATTCCAGGCAGAATTTTATATGATGGCAAGCTATAAAAAGTTTATAGCATTCTATGTACCTGGAAATGTCATGGAAATTATGCAAATTCCTAAAGACAAATGGAAGACGCCAACTTTCATAATTTCTGATCACTTTGTAGATATAGAAAATGTATATAAACAGGGTGTCCTGAAAAAGTACGCTATTAAATAATTGCTCGTAAGGAAGGCAGTTTGGTCCCCTGGTGTCTCGACAACCAGGAGACCAAACTGCCTAAACTGCCTGACATGTACTTCCACCGACAGCACCTCGGCTGACTCAGAGACACTATTTTCCCTATCCTGCCGCTGATATGACTTATCCTTCCCCTGAAAAAAGAAGAGAAAGTAATAGATACCCGACGTCCGAATCCTCTCTATAGCCGCCTCCTGATGTTAGAGTCTCCAGCAAGGAACACAGTTCACACAATTTTTTTCTCCTCTCGTCCAGGCCTAGCCCTCTCGATCCCCTCTCACCCTAATCTAATCACCCAATATCTCCTCTAACGTGACTTCACTCACCCCTTGAAACTTGTTCTCAACCTTGACGCCAAGATCCTGCAATTGCCTAGCCTTCGCTCCTTTCACAATTTCAGGATAGGCGGGACCACGGACCATCTTTGGGTTCCAATGCACTGCGACAATTTTAAACACAGACTGATTTGGGAGTCTGGGGAATCCCCCCAGCCATCCTGACCCGTCTTAATACCACTCATGCATTGAGTAGTTTATCTGTTAACGGTTGGTAACGTTATTGGATTGGTGCTCCAAGGTAACGCGATAGAACTCACTAGCCGCGCCCAGCTAGTCAATTTTTTTTGTTAATTTACCATTGGGCCATTGGTGAGGAGGTTTTTTTTCCCTATGTCTTTTCACCATTGTGAAAAGTCTGGTTGAAACATGTGCGGTTTCTCAACAATGAGTCAAAGTTGGTCCAATGATGAGCCAACAGGACATGCCCGATCCATAAGCCGGCTTAAACCAACCGTAAGGCAGCCAAATGCCGATGACCCAACTACGGCTTATAGAAGCGTCGACGAAAAGCCATCGTTGGCCCGTTAGAAAATTTTTGACTTGGTAACCAGGCTCGAAATCTAACGTACTTCCGAGCCATCCTTCCATATTGCAGTATTATTCATTGCAAGCTGATCCTCTCGTACGGTATCAAATCTTAGTACTACTGATTATTCAGGTATACCTATTAATCGCCCGACCTCTTATAATTGTTCTTTGACTGATTTGTAAAGAAATGAAACCGCCTAGCTCAATGAGTACAAGGGGAACAATGAAAA